TAATTGTTCTGATGTACTATTGTAACTAAGGAGCTTGTGTGAAACTGTATGATTCCGATTTTGTATGTTTGATGAAACCATTTAGTAAAGACAACATTTATTCTTAACTCTAGTGTGTTGTCTCACTCCCTGGGATACAGCGAGCGCTCCCCCTTCGACCATCTGACCTCTGTATAGACGGGTATAGAACTTACGCACAGCCACAACCACCCAATTTCCTTGGTAGATAACTTGGATTGGGTCTCCAGGAATTTCCTGGAGGAGTTGGCATAACAAAAAGCAGTCTAAAATGAAGGGGGAATTTCAACAGATTAAACTGCCAAGGGGTAGAAGGATTCAATTTTCTCTCCCCTGACTCCAGCTCACCCATGATCTGCCTCTTGCCTATGACCCGCAGAGCCGAATGCAACCTGCTCTGAACTTCACAAATGAAGAGTACAATGCAAATGTGATCAGTCTACAAGGGTCCCTGCCACACGGCAGGGAAAAGGATGCTCGAACTGTGGCTAATGTGAGCCGCAGCAAAGTTGAGACGGCGCGGCGGGATCTCACGGATCCCCCGAGCCGCGGCGCTGTCGCTCCCCAGCACGATCAGATGCCGGGGAGAAAGCGACGGTGGGGAGGGGAGCCTGGGGAACTGCGCATGCTCACACATGGACAGTTCGGCCAGGAGCCGGGAATGCGCCGGCGCAAGGACGTGCCGGCGATCCCACGGTCAGCGTTGCTGCGGCCCTTTGAAAAGAACCACCTTGGTAGGTGGTTCTTTTTTGGTGCGGAGTAGCGCTGGAAGGGCCAGATCAGGGACGGAGACGGTATGCTTCCCAGATGTTGCGGTGGGATTGCGCCCGTTTGCTCCGCCCCCGTTCCGTCCTGCTCCCAGCCCAAAAGGCCTCGTATGGACAGGACCAAGGTTATCTACTCCTGCGACCTTTGTCCCAACCAAACAGCAAATCTTCATACTACTGCTAGTTACTTTAACCATCTATGTTTGCTGTATACTGTACCCAACACGGGGGCACATCATTTTGAATCAGTACTGCCAAAACTGTCTTGGGAAATTCCTACAGATTTGAGGTCAGAGCCTGAGGAGGGCAGTATTTGGGGAGTGGAGGAAGCTTGGCAGAGATGTGATGCCCTCTAAGCTGTGGAGTCTTGTGAGCAAAAATTCTACTTTGTGAGCTACTGGCATTAACGTTGTGAGCGAGTGATTTGGCTACTGCATAAATTAGTTTGCTCTGGAGCCATCCTTCCTGAGCTAAGACAAAAATGTGTGAGGTGGAGGCTAAAAAACTGTGAGCTAGTTCACACTAACTCAGCTTAGAGGGAACTCTGGACTCCACCCTCTGAAGCTGCCATTTCCTTCAGAGGAACTGATCTCTGTAGTCTGCAGATAAACTGGAATTCCAAGAGAACTCCAAGTTCTGCCTGGAAGCTGGAAACCCTAGTCTGAATCTGCAGCCTCTTGAGTAAAACATACAATGTCTTCAGAGTGGCCTTACAAGGAGTAGGGAGTATTGTGAGCACTGGGTGCCAGAGTTTTCCATGTCTCTTCTCTAGAAAGTTGTTTTTAACCCTCCCACACATGTGAAGAAGGAGTTTCTTATTCTGACCCAGACTAACCACCCATCGCTCTTTCTGTATATTGGGGTGGGGCTGTCACTCAGTGGTAGAATGTCTGCTTTGCACGGGGAAGGTCCCAGATTAATTCCTCATCACCTTCAGTTAAAAAGGATCAGGTGATATAAACCATCTCTACCTGAGTCAATGGAAAGCCACTGCCAGTCAGAACCAATGCACTCTCTAAGCTGTGGGGTCTTGTGAGCAAAAATTCTACATTGTGAGCTACTGGCATTAAAGTTGTGAGTGAGTGATTTGGCTACTGCATAAATTAGTTTGCTCTGGAGCCATCCTTCCTGAGCTAAGGCAAAAATGTGTGAGCTGGTGGCTAAAAAACTGTGAGCTAGCTCACACTAACTCAGCTTAGAGGGAACACTGGTCAGAACACACAGTACTGACCTTGATTGACTGTCTTATTACAGCTTCGTGTGTGTATGAGTGCACAGTAAACCCTCAGGTATTATTAATCCTTTCCTAGCATAATTTTGAACCATTTTGCTGCTTAATTGGTAAACTATCTCCATAATAACTCAAGCCTAATCAGACTTCCTAGAAACGTACCGGTAGTGACAACCTTGCAAAGACTCAGATGAACCTTGAAAGGCAAATTTTGATACAAATACCATTACTTTGGTTACATACTAAAGACACTGCCCACAGTCATGAAGCTGCCACAACTGAAATGCCCTTTCACCATTTTCTTTACCAAGAAGGGCCCCAACCTGAACAAGTAATGATGGGCAAACTCCTCTCAGCCCAGTTTGGAACTCTATCTATCATTACAAACACCACTGAAGAATACATGGGGGGGGGGGATTCTCCGGAACCTTCAGGATCACCCTTTGCTTAGTTCTCTCTAAGCCACAATTTATAGATTAAAACTGCTTTTGAGCACATGCAGAATCATATTTTACATTCTGATCACTTTGTGGTGAAGCAATGTTTGATTTGTAGTATATTCAAGGGTTGCAACTATGCAACTATGTGTTTTTATAATTATAGGTAATTATAAATGTCTGCAGCTTCAGTGCTTTGAATCACAGCATTAAAGGAAAGAGGAAGACAGGGCACAGTAGCTTAATCCAACACAAGGTCCAAGGAATCCCCAATAGGTCGGGATACATTAACCCTACATTTCAAATACAGATGAGCCAGTGGCATTCTGTTCTGTCACAAGCATTTTCAATAATGTTAACTTTTAGATTCTGACTATCTCAAAATGCTATTGCTCATAATCAGCCAGGGTGTACAGAACACAACTGAACACAGCTTGTGATAGCAATTGATGTTTTCTGACATTAAAGCCAATGAAGTGAAGTACTACTTTTAGAGTTATGTTTTGATCACAATGGCAATTTATGGTGGCACAAACTCAAAAAACTTCTTACAAATGTGAAATAATTGCTAACTTCCACTTTTTATCATTAGCTCAGAAACTGGGTGGGTGGAAGCAAAACTAGAAATCATGGAATATTAATGTTTTATTCAAATACCCTAGTTTTTGCCAACTGGTGGAAGGTTCAGAAAACATACCATTTGACATATTAATAGAAGTTATTCTTAAGTGTTATGTACAGACGGGATGAAATGTTCAGTGTGAAGCTGAGCATCCTTCCTACTTGAAGGGTGTTGCTGGCACATGATGAAAGCAATTTGGAGCACTGGTTAGTGATTAGAGCATTACAAGGGGCGGACCCGCGATACTCGTGGGGGGGGGGACCTCCACACATGACCCCCCGCCACCTCTGAAGCGAGGCCGCTCAGGCCTCGCTGCTCTTTCCCCCCCGCTCTGTCACTTTTGGGGGGATTTAAGTATCCCCCGGTATTTTTTCTGTGTTTTTAGATTTTTGTGCACACCTGGGGACTGCCCCAAGTGTGCACAAAAATCTCCCTCCCTCCCAGGTGCCCCCGATGCGCAGATTTAGGTATCCGCACACAGGGGGCGCCTTTTTCTATTAGATATATAGATATAGTCATATGCATAATATATATAAGCAAAGCACAGTGTGTAAGAGGCCCATTACCTCTGGAACATGGATATGGGGTGGTTCTCATATTTGAATATGCCAAAGGCACAGATTTCTGTCCCTCACTTAATCCTGTTATTGTTGTATGGGGTGGTCCTATGGTCTATATAGAGTACAGCACATGGAATGTTGGCATCAGTGAAATCAGCAGGATAAAGTTATTTTAACTAATGTCTAAATTTCATCCAGGTTGTACCCATTACAGGATCACTAAGCAACCACTGAACACTGTGTTAGTTCACCACATCAGTGAATCCTCTCCCTTTATTTCTACAAATATTTCCCTTTCCCTGAAAAATGGCAAGAAATATGCCCACAGAGCATAAGAATGTTTGTTCTTTGTCAAATGGTTGAAGGACATTTCTTCACACAGAAAGAGAAGAGGTTGTTATCTGAAAAACACCTTTATGGGAAAGGTATCTTCCTCACACTGTGAACTCTCTGGAGCAGAGTCTGCAACAGGGGAGCATATTCCTTTCCCCCTCTCTTAAGGGTTCTCCTGGTAATCACTTCATTGTTAAAAAAAAGTAAAAAGAAATATACTTCTTATATCTGCCCTCAAAATTACACACACAATCTACCTCCTTTCGCTCAGGGACTTCAACAGCAGACAAAGCAGAGTCCAGAATTTTCCATACTGCAGCTCTTCTTGCTCTCCAGCTGTGGGGAAATCCCTTTAAACCCCTTTAAATCAGGATACCTTTAAATGCTGTAGCATATTTGGGACAATAATTTACCTCAGGGGATATGCTGCGTTCACTGCCGAAAGGGATATCCATAAATGGCCATGGCAACTCTGTGCATGGCTCTCAAGCAATGAGAAAACATAAACCAGAAGTAGCTGAAGTAGAGCCTAACTGTGAGTTTGTGTGACAGTGTCTTCGCACTGCTTGAAACAATGAGAGCCAATCCAGTCAAAGTAACACTTTTTGTCTCAGAACAATATTGTGCAGAAAGACCTCAAGTCAGAATGAATAACTGCTATTAATCAACTTACTTTTAGTTTCGCCTCTCAATCTCTATGACACCTTTGGTGAACCCTGCACAGTTTGCAAGCTTGCAAATTTTGTGCAGATGGAGGTGAAAGATAAATACGGTGTTATGTTCTTCACCAATATGAAGGATCCAGTAGAACTGTTTTGGTGCATAGTGCTGTCACTTACTTTTCAGATCTAGGTTTCTTGCTCCTGCTGTGCTCTGTGTTGTGATTTTTGTGTCAATCTTCACCGTATGGAGGTTATTGGTGTCCCGCGATATCATCACATTGTGCCACTGGTTGTCATTCAGAGGCTTGTTGGAACTTCCCTTGATCAGATTGGCACCGTTGCCCAGATCAAACACATAGTGTAAATACCTAAAAACAAGGAGCAAAAAAAAGAAAATAAAAAGCAAAGGCAAGCTTGGTGCTTTGAAAAGGAAGCTGAATGAAACAGTCACATTTTCATTTCTTTTTTAAAAACTTTATTTAGAGATAGTGGTAGTATGTATTTACATCTGTCTTGTTCCCATATAAAGCATGGGTAGTTAGTTTTCCTCACCCATGTGCTTTCCCCAAGCAAAAAACACTGATGTGACAAAGTATGTGGGGGAAACTGAATCTCCTCCCTTCTCCTCTTTGTGGTAAGTGAGGGAAATAGAGACTGTTTCCTTTGTTTCTTTGCTGCACTCCATTGCTTTAAATGCAATTTCCCAGCATCTAATTTCTGATAGGGAGGCTGAACTGGAGGAGGAGTACTTCACACAATGGAATGCAGCATGGTGACCTGATAGAGGGAAGGGCGCATGTCTCTTCATCAGATTGCTCTTTATAAAGAAACACTAGACAGGTTGCCTTCCCACCAACTCCTAGTTTATACCTATACAACAAGGATTCAAATAAAGTTTTTTTCCCTTAGAACAGCTGAATATTCAGAAAATCTTCACTTACTGCATTGTCAACCAAAGAATTCCTTTCTTACTTGTATCTGCAACAAGCAGTTTCTACAGTAGTTACCTAGGGTAACACTACCCAAAGACCCAAACATGTTGATAGGAGCCATATTCCAAAAGAGACAGAACTTCAGTCCCTTTAGGACATATGTACCCTACAGACTTATGTCTGTTATAGCTTAACTGCCATAGGTTAGTTTAAGTTCCCCAAAGAAACCTATAGAAATAATAATAGATTCTCTCTTCAAAGTTCGTATGCAGAACCAGGGGCAAGGGCTCCTAAACAAATTTGCACTGCAGATTATGCCCTACCACTTTCATCACATACACTTTTTCTCCATTAATCCAAAACTGGGATGGGAGAAGCTGCATGTGGGAGACTTGTTTAAGGTTTTTCAAGAAAGGGTTCAGCTCCAACATGAAAAATCACTTCAGACAGCAGATTCCAAAGAAGGCACCAATTTCCTGATTCAAATCAAAATGTGCTATTTAAAAATAGTGCTTTTCCATCCAGAGAAAGGGAACATTGTATTTAATTTTTGCTTTTCAGTGCTGAACTACCTCACTTTAACAAACCTTTAATATACTCTAATTTTTGTGCAATGTCAACTGAGACCTGATACATAGCCATTGCCTGGATTTTTTGGAAAGGAAAACCAAATTCTGCTTCTCCCTCATTGCCTCAAAGACATTCTTACTTTAAGTGTGCTCTAATATACCTCCCAGGTCATTTAGCTAGGATCTCAATACATCAGTACTCTTATATGTTGGCGTACAACAACCAGAGAGAGTGAGATATCTCTTCCTCAGCTCATACAGTTTACTATTCATTCTCCCAATTTTCAAACCCAACTGTCTGCTTTGATTGTATTTCAGCTGTATACATACCCTTTCACTAACTCAACCACGATAAAGTCGTTCCCATCCCCACTGTTGTAGAGTATTAACCCATCGAATGATGTTGTTTTGAACTGGAAAAACAGGTGCATAGAGGTGTAGGCTTGCAATGTGGCAAGAGCGACGTAGCTGGCTTTCGTCTTAAAGGTGACTGGATCAGCTATGATGTTCCTGAAGCCAAACCGGGCATTTAGTTCACAGTAATCAATGTCCCCGTTTTTACACAAGTCAATGTATGCCATGCCATTAAAAGTGAGGCTTTGCAGATGGCCAATGAAGTTGGAAGGGACCGAGGACAAATAACGGCGTTCTGTTATGATTCCCGTCTCTATATTATGAAATTCCAGTCTTGTGTGATCCCCAGCCATTTGACCTTAAAAAGAAAATGAGTTTGGGGGAAGTTAATGTTGGAGACAAAAAGTTAGAACTGGTTCAAATACTCGCTTATACAAGTTTGTTCAACCCTTACGCCTGTACTGCTCGTGTTTTCATGTAAGAGGGCAGTGAAAGCTCCAGGAAAGGAGCCAATGGTGTCCTCAGGGCCTGTGGACCCAGAGTAAGGTGCACTTATTATTATTTATTTGGAACATTCATATACCACTTTTATATTGAAATTATGCTCCAAGTAGATTACAAAAAAATTAAACCTTCAAAATAGTAATGCATGATAAAGGCAACATGACAATAAACGAAGACACAGAACTATCACATAGAAGTCAGCAATAAAAATCAGAAACCCATCATTTAAGGGAAATCTCAGTTAACTCAGAAAGCACCCCGAATTCCTAAAATTGTGAGGCATGATACATGAAGGACCATCTCCTCCGCTACTACCCAGGTTGCTAGTTGATATCTTCCTCTCAAGCCCTGCTCTCTTCAGAGGTGAGGCAGATAGAAATTGAAACAGGGCATTTTCTGTGGTGGCACATTTGGAACACCCTCCTCTTTGAGGCTCACTTGGCACCTACTTTATTTTAGGTGCCACAGTAAAACATGTCTTTTTTTTACACAGACTTTTAATTAGGGGGTTATTTTACCAGCTTTTTAATGGACTGTTTTTATGCAGCATTTGTCTAATAACTCATGTTTTTAATAGCTTGTTTCCCCCACTGAAAGCCTCCTCAAGCAGCACTCTGAAAGTATAGCATAGAAATATTCTAAATAAAAGCCCTTAAAGGACATTAAATGTCCAGTGAAAGATGAAAGTCTTAATCAGCTTTCTAAAGCAGAAAACAGTTGACCCAGCAGGGCTTTCTGCAGAAGAGAGCACCACAAATTTAGACGTGTCTACTGAAAATGCCCTGCCTCCAAGAGATGATCACTGAACTTCTTTATTTTGGAACACAAAGCAGAGCTTGAGTGGCCAAATGTAGAGCGAATAGGAGAGGAGAGAGAACTAAATTAAAAAATGGGTTTGGGAGCAAGATTGAATGTGGGTTATGTATCTGTACAGATTGATGCTTGCTGGTCTTAACAACTCAAGCATGGGCACCAGGCTTCCAACTTCTAGAGTCTTCATCTTTGCCTATCCTTCCTCTACACTTGTCCCCTGTCAATCTAAACTGACTACTTCACATCACCTGAATTATACCCTCAGCATTCCAAGCCATGAAGATAATAAATCTGGTTACAGAATTAACCAATGTCCCCCCCCAGCTGCTTTTTAAGGAAGTTTAAATTCATGTAACTGCGGCTATATGCTGGTTTCCTTTTCAATGGTTCTGCTCTGAGCTGTTGTGCAGATGAGAAAATGCTTGCTGAACTCTCTTGGTGGTGTTTTTTGCAATTATATTTAAGTGCACACTTGGAAGTAAGAATAGAAAAATTACAGGTGTTATTATAGCATTTTTTGTCTAATCAATTCTGAACCTGCTTTTCATTAAAAAAAAAGAATGTCATTATATGAACATAATAGCACTAAGGCATGTGGAGGGGAGTTTTTGTGAAATACTTGTCAGTGATGAAATGTGCCTCCCCCTTTAGAAACCAGGGGTGGGCACTCTGAAGGGAGGTGGACATGTTTTCTCATTCAACGTGAGGAAACTGCTGATCGAGGAAGCATTTCCCTCACTCTCAGTTGGCTTTGTGACATCACAATATAGCCAAATCTGATTGGCTATGCGGAACTGTGATCACTAAGATGCAGGGCTGCTTTTTTTTTTTTAATGGCTCTGACACAGAAACCAATCAGGGAATAGAGAATGAAATGATTACATGTGAATGGAAGATGATGGGAACACTTCCCCTTGCAAAGCACTATATTCACCTTGATGGGCAAACATTCAGTGCTGAACTACTCTATAGTTTAAATTCAACTGAGGAAGAAACTTAAAAAAAATTATGGAGCAGCCATCCTCAAGAAAAGTTTCCAAATGATATACTGGACACAGACTACACACAGGGGCAGAGTAGGAGACTAAAACAGTTCTGGAAAAGGGCCCCTCCCCCACCATGTCCCCTTCACCAGATATTGCTGTCTAGATAGAAAAGCCATGCTCCTCCTTCATGACCACTTCACAGCCAGTCCAGCAGAATAAATCCACACACACACAGGGCCAATGGGGAGAAACTGAGTGTCATCGTGTTCTTCCTCACCATCCCTACCACAGGGCAACAGCTCACCAGGATTTCTCCTGGTAAGGTAAATGGCCAATCCACTCCAACTGCAAATAAGCCTAGTATAGCTGCCAAGGACCTTTCAGTCTGATACGGACATTTCAATCTGATCACCTGGAACCTTAAAATATCATCTACACGTGAAGTTACCGCACTTTGTTTCATCACAGTAGCTAAAAAAAAAAAGGTCTGCCATGATTAAGTACATTGCAGTGATTGTGTTGATAAGCCCCACATGGAAGTGCTGTTTCATATAATCAGCAGCTTCTTGCAATCTTGCTCAGGCTTCCAGCATGCTTGTGACCCCATTTCTTCCAGCAGGCTACTACATGGGAGACACCAAGTACTTGAATTAGGTTATAGTCTTCCAAAATGTGGAATTTTAATTTTTTTTTCTCCTTCATGATTTAATATCCTGGGTACATCTGGGAGATTATGCTTGAGGGTGACAGAATTAGAATTGAAGAGCAATAACAGAACAGGATTATGCAAACATCATGCATATCTTGGACACTTGTAACAAATGGAATTCCACTATTAAGGCACCTAAACATGGAACCACATGTTACAAGGAAGACATTGAGTTCCCAGTCACATTTTTGGATTGTAAAAATAATCCAGTGGAGCAAATGCAGGGGTGGGCAGTGGCGTATAATCTCTCCCGCAATCTCCTTCTCTCTACTAGTGTTGTGTCTATCTATTTTTTGGAGGTGGGTCTTTACTATGCGAAAATTCTCTGCTAAAACTGAGAGTATTTCTGCATCAGTATTTTGGTATTCAAACCATGTTTGACAGACTAAAACCTAACTCAGTATGCTAGAATTTCAAGTAGCATTCAATCACAGCTTCTAAATATTTATTCTTTAGTATTTCCCAGAAAGGGGAGAATCAGATGAATCTGGGTTTCGGTTATTACACATTCTGAACCTCATCTAAAGCCTACAAAAATGCTACAATGTTATTTAGCTGTTTGACATAAATGGCAGGTTTTAAAAATATCTTTGTTATATACAGATTAAGGGGGAACAGTAATGGCAAGCTACTTTTTGTGTTCCTTGATTTATTCAGTAGTCTGCATTTTTTCTCTCATATGAATGGTTCTACAGTCTGCCTAACACAAGGACTAACGTGGGCAAAGGTTCTTCCATGTCTAAGTATGCAGACACTTTTCCGTCTACTTTTTAAGCAATTTCACCTAGATTTATAGAAACAACTTGTGGTGGACATTTGATGAATCACCTTTTAGAATTCTGGAGAATGCTTTGGAGGTCTCCAGGCTTTGGAGGATACTGAAAGCACTGCTTCACTAAACACAAGTCTAGGCCACAGAGGACATGTCAATATGGGGTAATGATTTCAGTGACCCATCTTGGTCCACCAGGCCCGGGCTTGAGTTCAGCAATATTGTCAACAGGCCTGTGCGCAGGTTTGGTGATACCAACATGGCAGTGCTGCAGAAGGAAGAATGCCATTAAATGGTATCATATAACTTCTGTTAGCACAAATCATGTATAATGCAGGGCTTTGTTTGGAAACTACTCAGACCTACCACATCCATTCAATATGTCCAGATTACTTACAGTCAGGACTTGAAGATGTTTGTTCATCCTTAGTGACTTTAAAGCCACAAACCAGGAACTGGAAGGGGGGGGGTCATTATGCAAACATTATCTCTCATTGTCTGAGACAGGTTTATGGTCTCTGATTGTTCAGTTCCTTAGACTATCTGACTCTAACTCTGGCCCTCTTTAGTATTTGTTCAGTTCAGCCAATAGGAACCACAATAGCCCTAGCTTAGTCAATGGCAGAAAGAGATCCTTCTGGCCAATCAGCCCCTCTATGATGTGTAGGCAGGTCACCCAATCACTGTCTTTATTATGTCCACCACAAAAATCACTGTGTTGCAGTACATATTGAATGAAGATCAGAGAAGTCAAGATTCATGATTATTATTACCTGTCATGGCTTGCTGGTCATCCACCATTAACTTTAAGCTTTTTCCTCGCCGAACCACACGTACTGTGTGCCACTCATTGTCATTGAGGTTATAGCCAGCAAAAAGGGTTTCTGGACCTTTGCCTGTAGGGTATGCCAAACAGTTATTATGGAATCTTTAACTCAGTCAACATGTGAACCTCACAGAGAGAGAAAGAAAGAAAGAGAGAGAGACAGAGAGAAACAGAAGAGAGAAACTGGCTGGAACAAACATTTAATATATATAGATATATAGAAAGACACAACAAGCTGGAAGAATATCAAAGGATATGCAAGCTTCAAATTATAAGTACATTATCTTACAACATTCATGGAATATATTTTAAAATTAGCAAAGTTGGCAAACTGGCATTTCATAAATGGGCACAGTCAATACAGAAGTAGAGTTATATATAGCAAAGGTTTGTGTAGGCTGCACCTGTTCGGACAAAGGTGTTAAACTGGTACTAAGAAATTAACTCTGTTCTGGAGATGAATATTTGTAGTCCTCCACCCAAGGTGGTGTGAGAGAGAAACACCATTGTTCATGGTGCGTTCACGCAGACATTCTGCTGCATTAATAAAAGTTGCTTAATTAAAACCATGCTGGTTATTTAATGAAATCTTATGACCATCCTTTCAATATGCTCCAGTCATAATATCTGAATGAAGAGGACTGTAGGAGGCTTGCAAATGGGTCATAAATCTATCAGTACAGCTCTGACTTCTAGATAAGGGGAGTCATTCTGCTTTCTGTATAGCTGAGAGGCTAGTGATATGCCAGGCATGAAGCAAAGCACCAGGGCATTGTTGCACAGAAATTGGAGGCTCTCTAGTTTTTTCACTGGGTATACCGCATCCAGGTTCTCATGCATACTATAGCTTTGTTCATACATTAGGATGAATGCATATATATCCAGGTACATGCACACATCTATTGAAAGAAAAGGCCAATATGCAGTTACTTAAGAAAATAAGACTAGGGAAGAGTGTTTAAATTAATGTTGGGTTTAAAGCACACAATCAGCTGTACATGTGTTGAATGTAACATGAATTTCTTTTCAGTCATTACATTTTATCATGTATATGGGGAAAAGGTGCTCAATTTAACCCTCAAAATATGTGTGAACAGCATTTTGTCTGCAAAGGGCCATAAACATATTTTCAGCCTTGATACATGTGTACCAAAACCCTGATTTTCCAGGGTTCTTGATTACATGTACTGAAGTTGAAAATATGTGCATGGGAGGATTTGATGTAGTGCATTCTCTTTTCATACATGTGGTAAAATACGATTGAGAGGGGCTTGATAATTACTCAATATGTTTATGCAGTAAAAAATCAAGTGAACGCCTCTCACAGATTGTTCACTGTAATGTGTGAGCAAAGCCTATGCCTACCAAGAATAGAAATGCAGGACACTATTTATTTATTTATTTATTTGTTGGCTCACTCAAATTTTATATCACTTTTCAGTCTGGACCAGGACAATAAAGGTGTTCACTGGTGCCTTGAGAGGGAGTGTGGAGGCCAGAAAGCAAGCTGGGCAGGGGCATGAAGAAGGGAGGATGTTGGGCTGGCCTCCTTCTTCCTTTCTCCGCCTCTTACTTGCCTATTATGGAGGGGTGGTGTCACCATCAGGCCGCCACTGCTGAGTGGCATCAGAGGAGGCAGAAGGAAAGTAGATAAATAGATTGTCCAAGGTTCCACTTTGTAGTCTCATAACTTACAACCTGTCTGCACACAGATCCTGCTGGTTGTAAACAAGGTGTGAATTCAAGATCAGGTGGAAGCATTTACATAACCTGCAGCAAATAATCCAGGCATCAATCAAACTGTGAGGCAAGTTTCTAGTTCCCATACTTGTAGACAAAATCTTTGAGAAATGTGACTTTTTGATGTATTCTTAACTGTGAGTTTGCATCCTCTTTCAATTTCACTGGAACTCTGAATGCACCAAAGAGACTATTTTGTCATGTTCAGAATCAGAATATGCATGTAGTCTTAAATGGGAATACATTCATTTCATTTTAATTAAGCAGCAAGTATAACACTAAGCTCAGTACTTGGTCAGCTTGCATAGAGGCACCATGTTTATTGCCCCCATCCTGGAGAGGGAGCTATGTGTGGAAGCGGGATTTCATTTATGCCCCTGATGCAAATACAGCATGGTTTTGGATACACCTCTGTACTGCAATGTTTTTTTCAGGCTCTGTTGAAAAGGCTGGCCGGCCCTTTTGATACAGATTGGGATACACGCCTAATATCACACATCTACAGCTGTATCTGAGCTGAAAGGTGATAGGAACACCAGAGCTGAAAATTAATTTGGGGGCCTCTAAATTCGTTCCTAGCTGCTATAGTCCACATTAAGTTGTCATTTTAGACTCATACTATCTTTATTAACTGTTAATTCATTAGAATGCACTGACCTTTTTACCCTGTATCCAGGAAAGATCACGCTGAATCATTTTAGAAATGAATGTAAGTCTTTCCTTTGTGCTTCAAAAAGAACTTGTGGGATCTTATGGAAACCATATAGGAGCTATATGAATAAAAATCCAAACAGATTATACTATTTGATGTATATCATGGCATCTGAGCAAATTATCAAAGATAAGGGCTTTTTTTCTTGAGGAACATGCCAGAACAGAGTTCTGGAACCTCTTCAACAAAATTCTTTTTAAAATGTTTGTAATTTCGTAAGTTTTCAATATATAGATTAGGATTGCCAGGTTTTACCTTTCATCTAGTGGGGGACTCCTGGCTTCTCGTCAGGACAATTCTACCATGTGTGAAGTGCACAAGGTGTGATGGCACCACCGCTAGGGCTGTCATAAGGTGATGCTCTAGCGTTCAGGGCAAAAACTCTATGGTAACCGTAGAGTTCACCCCAGAGCCACACAACGACCCCAGCATGATGACCCAGCATGATGACCCTTTGCCTTTCCAGAATGTGCAATGTGCACAGGGTAGAAATATAATACAATTGATGATTTGCACAGATGGAGCTTCATTTGTTACAGAAGAGCAAAAAAACCCAACACCCAACAACCAGAACAAAACAAAAAAGCATGCCTTGATTAAAATTTGGTAGTACCACCTGGGATCACATAAAATTGCTTCAAGGGCCAAATCTGGCCTATAAATTGCCATCTGGCCATCCCTGTGCTACAGAATATAATTCTTTGTATGGCAGCCAAAGCTTCCTTGCTGAAATTAAAAAGAAAAGAAAAGGGGGAAAAAACAGAAAAGAAAATTAGGACACTGGTCTATTTTAAAGAGACCTATGAAATAGTGCTATATTGAGTGGTGTGTTAATTGAAAACCCACACTTTTTAAAGAATATGTTTTCTTCCATTCCTGAATCTTGCGCTGACCATACCCTCTAGGAATTGTTATTCTGCAAACACTTACAATGGGGCTATGGTACACATATGTCTTGTCAGAACCCCAATACATTTTGGCTTCATTAAAATGAATAGAACTAAAATACTTCAGTGGCACAAGAACGAACTCAACCAGTATACTGTCAGTTAACACTGCCATGGTGCTGGAATGTGTGGAGGGGGAAACCACCTTACTCTGCCTACTACGCACAGAGTTTCACTGTCTGGGCATTATCGGCTTTCTTAGCCTTGGGATGTTCCAGCTGCTGTCGGCTTTGGCTGGGAACCAACGGCTTTTGGCTTTTTGCCCGCTTTCTTCCCCCCCGCGCACCAACTTTGCTTATTGGCTTCAGCTTGTAAGGTTTGATCCTAGTATAATTCAGGGTGCCATACTGTTCCCGGGCATTCCTGCAAAGCCCTGAAACATTCAGCAATTTAAATGAATCCCCCTCAGCGCAAAGAACTGAATTACCACCCAAATCCTAGTAAAACCTTTCTAAATTAGATTTCCTTCTCTTATACAAGAGAATAATGTCCTATTCCCATATTATCCTAACAAAGTGGCATTTTTTTGTAATTTGAACCACCCCTGAGGGCCTTCTCTCTGGAAAGTCTTACGATCCTATAGGAAAGACCCTGGTGATGCTTTCTTGACCTTGGGATGTTCCAGCTGCTGTTGGCTTTTGCTGGGAACCAACAGCTTTCTGCTTTTTGCCCGCTTTCTTTCCCCGCCCACGCGAACTTTGCTTAGTGGCTTCAGCTTGTAAGGGGGGGTGTTTGATCCTAGTGTAAGTCAAGGTGCCATACTGTTCCTGGTCATTCCTGACACAAGCAGTATACGTGTCATAGTCCTGGTATACCAATAAACAGAATTCTTCTTATGAAGCACTGTGTAGTGTGACCTGACTATCGAACCCTGACCTATATTACCCTTCTGTAGCACTGAAGCTAAAATAGCTATTTCATAACACACGTACTCCATGCAGTTATATATACAGTATTCCACTAATACCAGCCATGCCTTCTTATTTGCCTGGAGGAATGCTGTTCCCTGGCTTACACAGGAAAACTTCATTTCAACAAGACTAAAGATTTACAGAGTGAGAGGCACAAATAATTCAGTTTCTACTTTACAGACCAATAAACAGCACTATCCTAAGTAGAATTAGGTCCTTCTAAGTCCATTAAAGTCAATGGTCTCAGAAGGGTATATCTCTGCTTGGGATGGCACTTAGTAGAAACACACATAAACATAAATCCAGAAATTTCAGTCAACCAAATTATAGCTCAGAAACAGATACATTATAATGTGCACGATTAACTGGATTCTATGACTCCTTCTCCTAACAGATGATTTTCTCCTCCGAAAAGCAACCTTTACTTAGTGGCAGAAAGTTATTGGCAGCAACCCAATATGTAAAATTTTACTAGATATTTACAGCCAATATTTGGATGATTATTTCAAACTAAAAAGCAAAATGCAGGTCCTCTCCATATCGACAGTCTACCTATTCCATCTGAGCTACTGTTCCTGTCCAGCAAGCTCTCTGATCTACACAAGCTTTCCCACCACATCACACCTCTCCTGAGGAATGAAGGATCTTGCTAAGCATCTATATTTCCCATTGACTCCTTGTTCCCTTGTTAACCTGCTTATCCTAGGGCATAGTGGATAGAAGGGAAGATACTGCTTGTGAGGTATTGTAGACAGAAGTG